GGACACTGCCAGAGCTCTGACTCCTGCAGTGTCGTCTCTGGGACAGAGCATTCTTGTGTTTTGGCTGTGGACACACATCGCCAATTTGCAGAGCTGAGGGGACAGGCCTCCCCTGCGGGATCTGCGAGCAGGAAGCCCAAGTGCCACAGGTGGCCTGCAGGGACCTCAGCCCTCTGCCTGGGTGTATGTGCTCAGAGTTCCCCCGTGGAACCCCGGCAGGACTGGGGTTATTTTCAGTATTCTTTTGGGGCCTGGACGCTCAGACTGGACAGCCTGCTGGCCGTTCGTGCACAGCCTCCTGAGGTTGGTGAGACTGGAGGTCTGGGGGGCCTGGGCTCCATGGAGGCTGGTCTTCTGTTGCAGGGTCAGAGCTGTGAGACCTGCGGCATCAGGATGCACCTGCCTTGCGTGGCCAAGTATTTCCAGTCGATCTCTGAACCGCACTGTCCCCACTGTAATGACTACTGGCCCCATGAAATTCCAGGTTTGCAGCCCGGAGGGCCCGTACGGAGGGCTGGGCAGGCAGGGCTGACCTGGCGCTGTAGGCCTGCACTGGGGGAGCCCTGGGAGGGCATGTGCAGGGCGGGGTGAGCGGTGGGTGGAGGCAGCAGGTGGAGGCCCCTGGGCACACATGTCTCTGGGCCAGGCCTGCTGCCTGCAGCCACCTCAGGCAGGGATGTGACAGCAGTGTCTGTAGCTCCCTGAGGCGGTTGCTTTGTGAACGGGGCTAATGCCAGCCTGCCCCTGGGCAGGGGGAGGGACGCAGGGAAGTGCTTTGGAGAAACAGGCGGCGTCCTTGGAGTGGGAAGCACAGCGTAGCCGCCGCTGGTAGTGACCGCGGCCAGCGTTGCCGTTCACCGTGCCTTCTGGTCTCTTCTGTGCACAGAGGTCTTCAACCCTGAGAAGGAGAGGGAAGCTGGCGTCTCCAAGTCCAACAAAAAGTCCCTGCGGTCCCGGCAGCATTAGCTGGCACATCCTGCTGGAGGTCCCTTCGAGGCCCGGGTCCGTGGAGGGCATCAGCGTTTCCCGGCTTCTCTGTTTTTTATGTTCGTTGGTGACAGGTTTGGAATAAAATTGTTCCCAGGAGTTGCTGCCACCTTGCCTGTGGCTCGGCCTCGGTGCGTGGGTCCTGCGTTCCTGGCCTGTCCTCTCTCAGAGCTCACCTGCCTTGGGTTTGCATTCCAGCTGGTGAGGATGGCCGGCTTCCCCGCCTGGTGGCGCACTGTCCAGGGCCACCCCTGCCTGGCAGCTCTGTCCTTGCTCGGGTGGCTTTGCCTTCAGCCCCCGGCTTTGGCCAGTCACCCCTGCCGGACTGGCCAGCCCCTGGTCTGCACTTGAGTCTTGGCGACCCGGCTCCCCAGTTTGGACCCTCCTCTGACCTGGGGTGTGAGGCCTGCGGCCTGGCTGGACTCGCTCTTCCCCTGGGGCTCCTTTGTCCCCTCTTGGTGACTGGCAGTCTGCCCTTCCTGTGCTCTGAGTGGGCCCACATGCCCCCTCCTGCGTCCGGCCCCTCGCCCCACCTCAGCAGCTGCTCTCCCCACCCGCTCTGCTGGAGCCTGTGCTCCTGTCCCCTGCGCCAGACCAGCGTGGTCTCCCCGAATGACAGGAGGGCAGCTGGAGGCTCCAAGGTGGCCTCTGTTCCTTCCTCCCGGTGCCTGTCCTCTGCCTGCTGTTCAGGGTGTGCCTCCCGCCTTCTGGGTGCCCCCTCTGCTCTCCTCCTTGCCCTCCACCCTTGGGTCTCAGTTCTCCTCACCACCATGATGCTTTGTTCCCTTCCCTGCATTTCCTTGGTCACCACACTGGCCACGCTGCTGTGACTTCCTGTCCACCTGCCTCCTTTCTACCCCAGCAGGCCGGGACCCTTCAGACCGGCTCCAACTAGGAAGGGCTTGGCCACAGCAGCCCTTCAGGGGAGGCTTGGTCTGTGGCCTCACTCTGGTGGCCCAGGGGCCTCACTTGGCCCCTTATTTCTACTTCTGCTCTGTGAGCTGGCCTCGTGCCGCGGGCCTGCAAGGTGCTCTCCCAGAGCAGAACACAGCCACTTCATGGTGGCAAAGTGCGCGCCGTGCTCTGCCCTCCCACCTCAGTGCCCCGGTGCCAGGAGGGGGAGAGAGGGTCCCATTCAGTGGCTCTGCGCCTCTGCACATGTCCTGGCTCCCGTGTGGACACTGCTCAGCTGGGATGAGTTCCAGCCGATGGGCGTGGGAAAATCCAGGCTCACCTGTGGGCCATGGGAGGGCGTCCTGCCAAGCCTGGGGCAGAGTGGGAGGGACTCCCTCAGCCAACACCAGGTGCTCTGCCAGACCAGGGGAGAGGACGAGGACACCGTGTACAGGTGGCCTCCCCCAAGGCAGAGGGAAGCTCCGCCTTCTCCCTCCACAGAGCAGGCACCTGGACCCGGTGGGCAAATGACATGTGGTGGGAGAGGCTCGCGCTTCAAGTGCCAAGTTCTGTCTCCTGGGCCCTGTGTCCCCTCCTTGTCAAGAGGGAGCCGGGCTTAGTGGTGCCTCAGGCAGCAGGGCAGGGGCCACTTGACCAGCAGGGGGAGGGGCTGGGGGAGACGGGGCTGGGCTAGAGAGAAAGGCCTTGGCCTGGCCCCTGTGGGGAGGGGGCCGCAGCCAGGGGGTCACAGCCTGCTGCAGAGGTGGGGACGGCACCCAACATGCATTGGCAGGAGTTTGGTCACACGGTTCCAGTGGTCACATTCCTGCGACAAAGGTCTGGAGCACCTTGGCCTGGGTCGCTGGCTGCCTGGTTCGCTGGCCCTCTGGTACCCTGCCTGCAGCCTCCCCCATGACCCATTCCTGGCAATATGCCCGTCCCCATCCACGCGGCACTCCCTGGCCAAGCCCTCAGTGACTCCCAGCTCCTGGCTGACGTCCCAGGCCCCGCCCCGCCCTTCGCTGCCCTCTGCTCCCCTGGCGCCCTGACTCACTCCAGGAGTCATGGCCGGGACCAGAGTGACTCACTGCTCTCCTGGTCCCCAGCCTCCCCCTCTGGGCCTTTGTGAGGTGCCGCACGATCAGGCTGTGGTACCAGCTTGGCACTGGCACTTCCCTGCTGGGCCTTCCCAGCCCCTCCCGTCACCAGCACCGTCACCTACCGGGCTGGGCTTTCCTTCCCACCATGGCTCCCTGCTGCGCCCGCAGGCCTGGGTCTCTGCCCACTCCAGCCGCTTCCTGCTCCGTCAGCCACCAGTAAACCTGTCGCCCAGTGCCCGCCTCGTGCTGCGTTCTCCGCTGCCCTCTGCTCTGAGGTCTTTGTGGACCTTACCACCGACACTCTTGATCTCCGTGGCCACTGTCCCTGTGGTGGGCAAAACCTCCACTCACTTGTCGCTGTGTCAGTGAGGTCCTGGGCAGCCCACCGGGATGGGTGACGGTAGGAGGCCAGTCCCCGTGCCTCCCATCTCTGAATGCTCTGTGGCACTCTGCTTCCCGGCCAGCCTGAGGCCCTCTTCCTCAGAGCTGAAGCCCACCCCGCGTGACTCCAGCCACCCTGCGACTCTGCCCCGACCTCTGCCCCGGGCAGGGCTTCCTCTCCCAGCCCGCTGTCCGTCATCCCCCGTCCCCGCACATCTGCCCCGCCAGCCCCCACCTGCGGCATCCGCTGGCCTCCGGTGCCCGACTGTGAGTCCCACTATTACAGGCTGCTCGTCCTAGCAGGGGCTCGGGACAGCCACAGGCCTTCCAGCCGCAATAGGGGACGCCGCAGGTTGGGCCACTGGTGGGAGCTGGAGTCCAGGCCTGTGTTCCTCGGCTAGGGGGGGGAGCCAGGTGGCCACACTGCTGCCGCCAAGCAACCGCTGTCCCTCGAAATGGTGGCTTTCCTGCCTCATTCCTCAGGACCTTCAGTGGCCACGTTCGGTGTAAATTTCATACGAAAACATAAAGAATTTCCTAAGTCCCAGGTAGGGGATGAAGAGTCTCCTTGGGAGCAGCTCATCAGAGCTGTGCCAGTGTCACCTGATGTCAGGTCGCATGCCTCCCCTCCCCCACGCCCACTCTGCCTGCGCCGCATGACTGTGTGTCCCCCTCACGTTTCCCACGGCCTCAGAGGCCTCTGCCTGCTCCCCTGTTTCTGGTTTCTAAAATGCATATTCTGATGGCCTCTGCTCAGAGCTCTGGGGCCCAGGACCTGCTGACAAAGTTCAGGTCCCTTGACCCTCACTGTCCGGTTTCCCATTTCTCCTAGTGGCCACCAGTGGCCTGCGAGCTGGGCCAACCAGTCAGTGGACATCCTGTGGCTCGGGGTTGTGCCAGGCTGGGGTGGGTCCCGGGCCTGGCACAGCTTCTTCCCTGGGTCTCCTGGTTAGCAGGAGCAGCTGCTGAGCCTGGTATCTCAGTGCCAAAGGGTCAGGGTGTCCACCCTGCTAGGCCACCCTCCCTGTCGAAAGGGAAGAATGGCACCGAGGACAGAGCCGGAGAGGGGGAAGCCGGGCGGGTGGAGGCCTTGCGCCAGGCCTGTTCCCAGGCGCCCTGCTGGTCCATTTTTCTTTGTTTTTGCCTAAACCAGTTCCAGTTGGGTTCCATCCCGACCAGATGGGTTCCAGACCCCTTGGCGCCCGCCCGGCCTCACCATCTATACTTACTGGACCTTTAATTGCTTTTGTGTTTATTTTTCAGTCCTGGGAACACTGCACTTTCCCACAGAGCCGCATCCCAGCCCTTTTTATTCTGAGACAGGATCTTGCTAATTTGCCCAGGCTGGCCCCGGACTCCTGATCCTCCTGCCTCAGCCTCCAGCTGCACCCCTCACCATTTCGATCACCCTGTCCTGGGCTCCGTCATTCCCTCGGCACTCCCTGCCCTGGCCCTGCTTCCCGCCTTCCTCCCTCTGTGGGGCTCTCCTGTGGCTCCCCACCCAGCACTGGGGGCCACAGACATGCGGGGCTCCCACACCACGCGCCCCCTGGTGGCTGGGACCGGCTGCCTCTCTTTCCTCCTGGGGCCTCCTACACTGCCCACGCGGGAATTTGGTTGAACAAATGATTTTTAAAATATATTTTTCTTGTTTATTTATATTACTGAAAAAAACTGAAATCACCGAGAAATGTTATAAAAAGTAAACACCCACAGCCTTCCTGCCGGCCCCGACATGCCCACAGTTCACCTGGAGCCTTTCCCTTGGGACACGCGCACACGCACACTGTCATGCCCGCAGACACACGCCTAGACAGGTATGCACGTGAGGTCGCTAGCTAAAAGTGAAGAACACTGCATCTCACTTAACATGACGCCTCTCTCCATGGCCTTAAAAATTCTAACTGTTCAGAACAAAAAGCAAAAATCAAAACCAAAAAAAAAAAAACAAAAATGGGGGGGAAAAAAAGAAAGATCAACAAAATTACAAAGAAAAGAAAAACTGTCCTAGGTTCCAGGGGTGAACAACACTCCTTCCCTGAAGGCCACTCTCTACCCCATGATGTCAGGCGTCTCACGTCACCGCAGGATGGACACCTCCATCCTCCTGCTGCTTCCTCAGGTCGGGTTCCCAGCGCTGGGCGGGCCGCCCACAGTGGGCCTGAGTGTTGGAGGCGCTCGCTTTTGCTGACCTGCTAAGGCCCACCACGGGCGCTGTTCCCTCCCAGCACTGAGCTCGAGGTGCAGATTTAGTCTGTTTTAATTTGCCCGTCTGAGTATTAGTTGTATTTCTGTAAAATACATTTTTAGATGTATGGACCTTTATTTATTTGTATGTGGTGCCGAGAATCGAACCCAGTGCCTCACAGGAGCTAGCCACGTGCTCCACCACTCAGTCACAACCAGCCCTGTATTTTTTTAACTCCCCCCACATATTGCCACCAAAAACTTAATATGATTAACATGTTGGCATAACACCTGGAGGTTTTTAGTTGAAGGAATGAGATGTTTTACATAAAGGTTCGTTGGCTTTTAAGTTTCCTCTTATGATTGGTTTGGAGGGGATCCTCCACTTCATGGTCACCTGGTGGACGGATGCTGCGAGACGCCCACCCTCTGCCCTTCTCCTGTCTGAAGTCAGAGACAGGAAGTTGGTGGTGAAAGGAGTCGGCCATCGGCACACACAGGCGGGAGGCCCGGCTCTGCTGACCTGCTGGCCTGAGGGAGAGCAGGTTCTCCTAGGGGTGTGGCCCTGGTCCTTCCCTGGGCACCTGTCCTGGGTGTGTGCTCAGGAAAACCCTCCACTAGCACTGAACTGGCAGCAGTCTGCTTCAGTAAGGACACAAGTCTCCCACTGGGTTTAGGCTGCTATGTACCCAGGGCCTCGCCCACCTCTCCAGAGCCTGCAGGCTGTGGTGGTCCCCGGGCCTGGCCATGATGAAGTCCACATCACAGCTGAGTGCCAGAAGCTCTGGCCACGGCGTGAGCCTCTGCGGCCTCTGGAGGAGGCCAGTGCCACTCTGTGTTCTAGAGGGGCGGGCACCGGGGCCAGGCGTCTTGGCCACCACGCAGGTGCAGCAGTGGGACCAGCTGGGACCCTACAGCCACGCTCACTCCCACGCTTTCCACCAGATACACAGCCTGCCCTTTCCCAGACGTGTCCAGCTTTCCAACATGGGCAGCTCCGTGTGGGTGGACAGCCCAGAATGTCCTCCTGGGCTCCTCCCGCCTCCCGCTGCCACAATGGGCCCGGGACACAGCCGCTCATCCCAGGTTCCCGCAGCTGGGCGCCCTCTGCTCGTCCAGAGCCCGGGGCTGGAACCACACCAGGCCCAGGCCCAGGAGCGAGCGAGCGGTCAGCGGACGCCGAGTGGCTCCTGGCTACGACCACCAGAAGCTGACGGAGAAGCTCAGGTCCAGGGCCCGCACGTAGTGCCAGTGTTTGGCGGGGATGAAGAGCATCTCTCCAGGGGACAGGGTGCAGGCCAGGAAGGGCGCCTCGGCAAACCGGGGGAACCTCTCCAGGTCGGGATCCTCCACGTCCACCTGAAGAAAGCAAGAGATGTCATTTTGCTGGAGTCTGGGGACCGCAGCAGGGACCGCCACATCACCCCGGTGCCCGTGCGCCCACCTGGCTGGTGTTGTGAAGAAGGTGCGTTTCGTGTGGGTACAAAGCCGCCGAGTCCTGTGGGGAGTAGAGCCGGATGTACTTCCTCCCCATCACCTGGAAGAGGCCCAGGGGCTGCTGGACGGCCTCAAAGCGCTGCAGGCCCCTTGGTCCCTGTCTCCCTGACCCTCCCCGCACTGCTCCCTGGGCCTGCACTGCCCCTCCTGACCTGCACCTGCTTAGGTGCCCAGAGGCCAAGAGCTGTTGTCCTCGGAGCACACGGTGGGTGGCAGCTCGTGGCTGTGGCTCAAGCCTGGCTGCTGCTCATAGCGCGTCACCTTGGCTAGCCCACACAGGCCTCGGGGGTTCTTCTGCGCCCCCGATTTCCAGGTGAGGAAAATGAAGCACTGAGAGATTAAGCCAACAGCCCAAGGTCACAAAGCCGCCTGCCTGGGGATGGCACTGGTGGCTGCTGGGCAGGCTGTCCACCTCCCCTGGGCAATGCCAACCTTCCCACCCATTCAGCCCGTCAGAGCCAGGGGGCTTCCTGGGCAGCACCGTGTGCCCCTCCCCTCGCAGGACCTCCCAGGACCAGCCCCTGCACCAAGGCCCCAGGTGGAGGCCATCCTCCCTGGAGGGGACCCTCCTCAGGCCTGCAGCTCTCGTCCCTTTCAGGGCCCCTGCATCTCTTTGAGGAGCTGGAGTTTGAAGGTGGACCCTGAGGTCAGCCCCATGCCTGGGCCAGCAGGAGGCAGAGTCACTGGTCTGGTGGCAGCTCCTACCTGCACCAGGAAGTTCTGCTGCGGGTCTTGGTGCAGTGGGGACACGGTTCCTTGGGGACCGAACCAGGCATTGATGGTGATCTCGTCCTCCTCCCCGTCGCCCAGGCAGCAGTAATCAGGGATGCCGATGTCCTGTTTCAGCTCTGGGATCTGCGGGTGTCAGAGCAGAGATGGGGGGTCGAGGAGAGGCCGGCACCTACAGCCGGAAGTGACTCACAGGTGGGCACACGCCACTCCTGGCTAGGGCCATATTTTAAAGGAAAAGAATTTAAAAACAATGAAAAAACAAATATGTAATCAGCAGATAATAGTTGTAGTCTTATTTTCATATCGTTTGCCATGTCTATGGATTTCTTATTTATTTCTTTTTAAAAAACCTGATATTAATGCTTTATACTAAAAACAAAAAACACACAACAGCTTGTCATACTCTAGCATTAAAGTTAAAAAAAAAAAAAAAAAAGAAAATAGTTTTAGGAAATCCAGAGAGGATTTCCTAAAATTCACTACTGGTAAACAAATCCCTATTGGCTAGGTGCGGTGGTGCCTTCCTGTAATCTCAGCTATTCAGGAGGCTGAGGCAGGAGGATTACAAATTTAAGGCCAGCCTCAGCAACTTGGTGAGACCCTTTCTTAAAATAAAAAGGGCTGGGGATGCAGGTCATTAGTAAAGCACCTCAAACAAACAAAAACCCTATGTTACATTATATAAATTAACGGCTCTAAAGACTGAAACGCCCGAGCCCCTCCCTGCTGGCTGAGGTGGGAGGTCAGGACACAGTGCAGAAGACACGGAGACCTCAGTACATATGTCACACAAATAAATCAAAAGCCAGAAGCAGATGGACACAGACATGACAGAGGGCTTCCGTCTCAGCAAATAAATCCAAGTGAAACTAAGAATGAGTCATCGTTCCTCGTTAATCAAATAAGAAAGATTGAAAGCAGGATAACCCAGCCGTGGCGGGACGTGGTGTCTGGTGTGTGGGCAGGGCGCGGGCACGGAGTGGAAAGAGTGGTAAACCTGTGTGACGGCGACAGGCTCCTGATGAGGGCTAAAGAGCGTCTGCATCTGACCAGTGGGAGTGGCTTGGTGCCCGGCCCCTCGTGGCCAGCGGGACCTGGAGGAGCCCGTGATGGGAGGGCTTCCAGGTGGACGGGGCCACACTGTCAGCGCACCTGCCTGGTGGCCCCAGGACAGGCAGTGCTGAACACGTCCCAGGCAGAGCTGGCTAAGGCCACATGCTGTCCCTGTGGTGCTTCCTCATGAACCCTGTCCCCCCCAGTCCCTGCGCCCTCTGGGACAGCGAGGCGCCCCCAGAAGAGGCCTGGCCTCCAGGGAAACGGGCCTGGGGTGAGCACAGCGCGGTCGAGGTGGACCTCCCAGAGCCCCACAGGACTGTTGCCAGCACATGGGGTCACCTCGCAGGCCCAGGGTCTCAGAGTGAAAAGCCACTCGCTCAGAGGCAACCGCAGCCTGACCAGCCCTCAGCAGGCACTGGGCCAGCTCAGGGCAGGGCCCAAGGGAGAGGCCAGCCGACACTGGAGGCTCCGACCCCAGACCCTGTGGGAGCTGCTGGTATTTTTCCAGCTTGAGAGGAATGAAGCAGGGCCGGGCCTCGGCCTCTCCAGGGAGCAAGGCGTCACCTGCCACTTCGCCAGCAGCACCTGGGAAGGCGGGAATGGCCCTCTGCAGGGAGCTGGGCCCAGACGCTGCCCTCTGTCCTGTAAGGGCCCATCTCCTGGGGCCAGCGTAGAGACGTGGAGTAGTGGTGTCCCATGCTTTGAGCTAAGACCCAGATTCATGGACTGAGGCCCCCCAGTGCCACAGGGGGGGTCTTGGGCCATTTGCAGGATTCTCAAATGCTTCCAGGAACCTCAGGCTCCCTGTCACATCACACTGCTGCTTCTGACTGGGGTGCCATCAGCCCTGGCCCTGTGGACACTCAGCAGAACTCTGATTGGTTCCTGATGACATCATCAGGATTTCTGAGAGGTGATTGGTTGAACCCATCCTGCAATCCGAATCACTGACCAAAGACTCGGAGACCCCTAGAGAACCAAGCAGTTGGAGACAGGCCTGCAGCGGGGGCCAAGCTTAGAAACCAGTCCCTGCGAGGAAACCAGTGAAAGGTCCTGAGGCAGGAACCTGGGGGAGCTGGGCCTGTGCTGCTGGACTGCCAGACACCTCTCGGCTGGCTACTGCTGGCCCTGGGCCCCGCTGCCCCCACGTGGGGGGCATCTGTCACTGGGAAAGTCCTGCCCTCCTCTGGTCTTCAGCAAGTCTGCGCTCAGGGTCTATCTGGCCTGTCAGGGCTGGACCCAGAAGCAGCAGGCCAGGTGCAGGCAGATGGCCACAAACAGACACCTGAGGTGGGGACAGATGAAGGCGGCAACTCGCCCCCTCCTGGTGGGCTCAGGTCCCGTGGCCTTGTGGCCTCGCTGGTCCTTTGGGATGTGTTCCTCGGCTCTGGCCTCACCTAGACTTGTGACAGTGTCCCACCCCCGGGGACTGCCAGTGGCTTCCCTCTCCCCTTGCTGCAAGCTGGAATCCTTCCTCACTGGGGGTCCTGGGACTCAGGCCTGCGGCCTCACTGCCTCCTGCTGGCCCTGGTGAGGAGGGGCAAGTGGGCAGCAGTGAGCCAGCAGGCTTCTCTGGGGGGAGGGGAGAGGGTGAAGGACAGGAGCGCAGCCTCACTCACCTGGTCAAAGAGCTGGTGCTGCGCGAGGTACCCGATGTCACTCGCCTGGACAGACATGGAGGAAGAGAAAGCGCTGTTAGCAAGAGCCTGGGGGCTTCTTCCAGAGGCTGCCACTGCTTCTAGAAGGCTCCGCCCCGCCCCACGAGGCTCCGCCCCGCCTGAGCGCCTGGTCCCCAGGGCGGCTGCTGGTGGGTAAATGGAGGCAACCATGTATATAACGATTTTTGTTTTTCTGTTTAAAAAATCATTTAAAAAACTGATAAATACACATAATTTCCTATTTTAATCTCTTTAAGGCCCAGGGTCCTGGTGTTCAGCACACCCCATGGCTGCACAGCCATGGCCACCACCCGTCTCTGAACCTCCTCCACCCTGCCAGGTAGAACCGCATCCAGGGAACACTGGAGGAGTTACTTTGACTTTTTTTTTTTTTTTGGTTCCGGGATAGAATTCAGGGGCACTAGACCACACACGGGCCCCATCCCCAGCCCTACTGTGTGTTTTAGAGTCAGGGTCTCGCTGAGTTGCCTAGTGCCTCATTAAATTGCTGAGGCTGGCTTTGAACTCATGATCCTCCTGCCTCAGCCTCCTGACCTTGACGTTTCCTTTTCACAAGTTTTTTGGTCTGCTGATGAGAAGCTGGGGCCCCCATGTGAATCTCTCCCAGGTCAATACGCAGGCAACTGCTCCTGCTCTTAAAGACTCCACGATGTTTTATAAACAGGATTTGAGGTCATGAATTCGGGGACATCCAGGGTGTTTTGCTACAGCATTTCGACTAACAGCCCCAAACACTGTGCTTATGTTTATGGGACACGCGCTTCCAAAACTACCGTTAGTCACGCGTGCGTGTATTTAATTTTTCACACTTCTGCCAGGTTCTTTCCCCGAGTTAGACCCTTCCTGCTCCTGTTGCCCTCCAGTCGGCCCACGCTGGGGGCCATCACACTGTGACAATTTTGCCAATGAGCTGGAGATGAGGGCTTCACAGCCTGGGCCCCAGGGCTCGGGGTTCTGCTCAGATGCCAAGCTCTTCAGGGGTCCCATGGCAGGGGAGGGACGGGACTCAGGGCACCTCTCACCCCGCTGCAGGCAGGGCGGAGGCAGGGAGCTGGCAGCTGAGGCCAGGCAGTGCCGCAGCAGGGAGGCCCCTCTCCAGGAGGCCCAGGGAGCCTCGTCCTTCCGTCCTTCCACCCTCTGCTGCATCTGTCCTCTCCACAACAAGCCAGACCCAGGCTGAGCACACACAGCAGCCCTGACGCCATCTCCATCCTGGACAGCGGGTCAGGAGGACACCGGGTGAGTGCTGGCCACGCACTGTGCTCTAATCCCCACGGGGACACGGGCATCGCCACCCGCAGCCCTGCGTCACCCACCACACTAAAGCCGAGCTTCCCAAAGTCGGGCCCTGAGGACAGGCGAGGCCCAGGACACCGCCAAGGCCCAGGCCAGCGAGGGACAGCCTGTCTAACCCTGCGCTGCTGCTGCCTCTGCCCTGGGCCTAGCCATGGCCTTCCCGGCCAGGCTGACCCTGAAACATTGATGGCCACGGTGTCACGGGACTATTCTAGATGCTCCCTCCCAGGCCTCAGGGATGGCAGGAGGCAGGCTGCCAAGGCGGCCGAGCCCCCGAGTGCCCACGGATGAGGCTGGGGCCCCGGTTGAGGAGATGGGGCAGGAAGGGCACCGAGGAGGGGCGCTGGGGTCCCCCAGGAGTTCACAGTGAGCAGCGGAGATGGACAGCGGGGATGGGGACGGGCGGCCACAGGTCTGCAGGCTTCCCTGAGACGATCCATTATCCAGTCTGCTCGGAGGCAGAGGCTGGGCCCCTCCGTGCAGCCAGAGGCCCACAGGCCACAGCTGTCCCCTCACTCTAAGGGTCTCGGCCCTGATCTCAGCCACAATGAGGCCACAGTCACACTCTCTGCCACCCATGGGCCTCACTGCCACGAATCTCTAGTGGGAACTGGGGACAGCTGGCTGGGAAAGCTGACTGGTCCCTGTGCGAAGCGTCACCTGTGGGATTCACTGCGGGAGCCTCAACTCCCCTCCTAGTGCACGGACGGGGATGGAAGTGACAACCCACGGGAATTGGCATGTGAACGAGGAAGGGACCCGGCCCAGAGCCCACCAGTGGGCGGAGGGCGAACCTGACGTGGCTCACACGATGGGACTCCCAGCCGCTCACAGGGACCACGGCTGGGAACAGCACGGCCCGAGGGCCTTGAGGTGTGAAGGAGAGGGACAGAGGCCACCCCAGCGGCCACGCGCTGTGCCATCCCTTGGTGTGAAGTGCAGAGAATGGAGCGTGCACAGGGACAGGAGCTGACTGGAGGTCACAGGGGTCAGGGAAGGGAGACGGGAAAGGACACCGAAGTGCAGGGGTGTCCCCAGGGCGGGAGACTTCTGGAAGGGGACTGGGGGGTGGGGGTGGGCACCATCACGCACGTCCTCAAAACCCCCAGGACGAGGCGGCCTGGAAAGAGGAGCCTGGTGCAGCCACCCGCCTGCCCACCCGCCCACTGTGGCCATCCGCCCCACAGCCCAGGGATGCTCCCCCCACCACCGCACCCCAGGGAGAGCCGTGCACACCTCGCTCGCGACGTGCTTGCTGATGAAGTCCCCCACAGTCATGAGCCTCTGGGACCATTCCTCATCTGTGTACCGGGAGCCGACCTCCACGGGCACCGTCCGGCAGCCAGCCACCTCCTGGATGTACTCCAAACTGTCAGACACACAGGCATCGTCCTCGTCAGGGTCGCTACCGCCCGCTGGGCATGGAGAAGAGCGAGCTTCACCTGTGGTTTCCTTTAGTTCCCACGAAACCTCATGAGGCAGAGACTACTCAGGCACAGAGAGGCGAGGTTAATTGCCCAAGGTCACACAGCCAATGCACAGAGCCGGGTCTGCTAGGCTGCTCCGCTCCCCTGTGGGCTGTGGTCCCTCTGAATCTCCCTCTGCTCATCTTGTCACTGAGCTGACAAATGGTGGGCAGTATGAGGTGGTGGTGGGGGTGAGGTGCCCAGCTTTAAACTCTGGTGGCCTGAGATGGAGTCCGGGCCTCACCAGCGACAGACCAGGGGACCTTTGGCAAGTTGCCCAGCCTCTCTGAGTCCCTGTGCCCGTGCAAGGTGGAGGTGACAACAGTGCCTGACCCCCAGGGAATGAGACGAGGCTAAACACACCACATGCCTGACACAGGGACAGAGGGACTGCACGTGGGAGGCCTGCTGTGCGACGGCTCCGGCAGCCCAGCGCCCCTCGCCAGCCTCAGTGTCCCCCAGGACTCCCCCAATGCCCACTGTGCTGACTGGACCTCAAAGCTCAGGGCACTGGAGGCCTGGTCCCCATGGACGCCGTGGTGACTGGGCCCTGAGGGCTACGACCTCATCAGTGGGTGATTCCCCGGGGGATCTGCAGCGTAATGGGCTGCTGGGGGTGGTGGAGGCCAGGAGGGGGCGGTCGGAGGAAGCGGTCAACTGGGGGCGTGATTTGTATTTTGTCCCCAGCCCCCTGCTGGCTCGCTCTGCTTCCTGCTCCACCATGTGCCCCTGCACGATGTCCTGCCTCCCCACAGGCCCAGAAACAACAGAGACAAGTGACCACGGACTGGAATCATAAAAAAATTTTTTTTCTGGGCTGGGGATGTGGCTCAAGCGGTAGCGCGCTCGCCTGGCATGCGTGCGGCCCGGGTTCGATCCTCAGCACCACATACCAACAAAGATGTTGTGTCCGCCGAGAACTAAGAAATAAATATTAAAAATTCTCTCTCTCTCTCTCCCCCTCTCCTTTCTCTTTAAAAAAAAAAAAATTTTTTTTCTCCTTTAGGTTGATTTTCTCGGCTATTTGGTCACAGTGACAGAAAGCTGCCCCAATCTACTTCCCTTGAGCTACATAGTTGGACTGTGCACCACAGGGGATTGGTTCCAGGTCCCCTGCAGATGCCAAAAATCCAGTGATGCTCAAGTTCCTTATTTAAAAAACAAAAACAGTGTAATCCCAGCGGTTTGGGAGGCTGAGGCAGGAGGATGGAAAGTTTAAAGCCTCAGCAAAAGGGAGAGTGAGACCTGTCTCTAAATAAAATATAAAATAGGGCTTGGGGGTGTGGCTCAGCGGTCAAGTGCCCCTGAGTTCAATCCCTGGCCCCCAAAAAACAAAAACAATAACCCAGCATAGACCTGCCCCCGTAGGTCACTTCCTCACTACTCAAGACCCGGCATGCGCTGTAAAACCTGTCGGTAGTTGTCCCGCTGCCTGGCTTGGGGAACAGTGACAAGAAAATAAGTCTGTGTGTGCTCAGCACAGAGGCGACACGGTAGCTCTGCGTCCAGTCCTGACCCGTGGTTGGTGGACACTGAGGAGTGGCACCCGTGGCCATGAGGGCCCACTGCGCCACCTCATTCCCAGGGTAGGCCCAGCCAGGGCGCGGGGTCACTGCCCAGCGCCTGAGTCTGGGGAGCGGCTGCCTCTGGGCTCTTCTGGGCTGGGCCCCGGGGCCCTGAGGAGGCTGCGGGACTCCTGGGCCCTGCGGGAGGGCAGAGTGGGCCTATCTGGAGACCGCCACCTGGACCCTGAGGAACTTGGCTCAGGGCAGAGCGAGCTGTCGCAGGGCCGTGGCCTGGCCTCGGGCAGCCCCTCGGGCCTCCTGTCATCCACCCCGGGGCTGCTAGTGAGTGCCTGTGGGGACTCTGGTGACGTGTGGGTGGCTGGAGGAGTGACTCAGGGAGGCCTGGGGACACTGGTGGGAGGGAGGGAGTCCCCGTGGTGCCGCGGTGACCACCCACCTCCACTTCTTCATGCAGGGCCAGTGGTCAGCCACGTCTTCCAGGACCACGGGCCTCTCGGGAACCAAGAACTGCTCCCGGAAGTGCTGCAGGGACGGGCGGCGCAGCCGGGGCACTGCGGTCTCGGGCTCCAGCTCTGGAGTGGGGACGCGGTGGCGCCTGGCTCTCTGCTCAAAGTCAGAACACAAGGCTCCAGCTCAGGCGGCGGCCAGGGACCCACACGGTGGCAGCGGCTGAGGTGGCCTCGGTGACACCACAGCCACACAGCCCTGATCGCTGCTGCTGCTGTGGTCACCAGGAGGCCCAGCGCCACCGTCCCCCACATCTCAGGACAAACGTCTGTGGACTCACAGGCTGTGCTGCCTGCGTGGACGCCACCTCAACCACCGTGTCCCGTCCTCACAGCCACCCCTGGGAACCGCATGGTGACAGCATGATGAAGAGTCCCCTGTCACCAGCACCGGTCACTAGCATGTGGCCACGCAACTTTCCTTGGCCTCTCCCACCTGGGGACCTGACAGGAGTGCTGGGTCCCTGGGCCTCTGTCCACATGTGCTGGGCAAGGTCACAGTGCCCAGACCGGGACCAGCCGGGGCACACTCGCCTCCCGGCTCCTTCTGCCACACCCCCCCCCCAGGACGACCTTGGGCAAGGCCACCTCCACGTTCTCGTGGGACAATGGTGGGCTGGGGGCTACACCCAGGGTCAAGGGGACGGACACTGGTTCCTGATCTGTGCGCCTGTCCTGCTGTCTCGAGGCCAGGTGCCATGCCCGGCCCTTGGCCCCTGGCCCCCTCAGGGACATTGAGACCTGCGTGGCCTCGCGGCTGAGGAAGAGCCCGCGGCTGCCTGGCTGCTGTGCCGGCCGCGTCTCTCTCCTCTTTAACCAGAGGTGGAGGCGACCCCTTCCTGGTGCGTGGTTCCACGGCTCTGGTCCTGCTGTCAGAAGCGTCCCCTGCCTGGGGTCCCGCAGGCTCCCACGCCCTGCTGACCTAACTTGGCAGGTGACAGGGACGGCCCCTCTCTCTTCCCAGTGGGATCTCCTTTTTGTTGGGCTGTGTGACAAGGACATCCATTCACTTACCTGGCGTAAACCCTGCTCACGTGGGGAGTGTCCAGGCCACAGGGCCAGCCACGAGGCCACTGCTGGTGCCTGACAAGCTGGCCTTTCCTTTCTGGGGCTCAGGACCCTAAGTGCCCCTTCACAAGCAGGAGGGGACGCAGGCTGAGAGCGGAGCCGTCCTGGCTCACCTAAGGTGGCCCGGGGTCTGGGACGGGCTGGGCTCTGACGCCTGCTGCGTGAACTCAACCACCTGGGCCTGGGGGACGTCGCCCAGCCCCCCTCGGCCCCCTCAGCTGCTTCTCCGACCACAGGGTCCCCACCCCGTCTCCACGGGGCGCTGCTCTCGCAGAAATGGGAAAAAGAGGGTTTTTGACAAAACAAACCCAGGGGCTCGTTCCCATCAGCCGAGAGGCTACTGTCAGGGCGCCCAGGACCCGTGGGGGCCTCACCCAGGGGCAGAAGCGGACAGGGAGAGCGGGGCAGGCGGACGTCCCTGTACCTTGGCTCCGGGCGGCTCCGGGCCGGGGCGGGTGGGCCGCTTTCCAGAGCCGAGGTGCGCCTGGAGGACCGTGGCAGCCCTAAGGAGGACGTCCCCCAGGATGGCCGCCCCCATCAGCAGGCCCATGTCGCACACCCGCAGGGCCTCAGTGACCGCGGTGGCCTCGCGGGGCGCCCGGCACAGGCACAGGGCCTTCAGGAGGCAGCCGAAGGCGTAGACCCGCCGCCAGTCCTTGTGCACGTCCCGCCAGGGCCCCGTGTTGAGCCTCTCCCAGGCGACGTCCAGGAGCGCCTCGCTGTCCTGCAGGCACTCGGCCAGCCGGTCCCCGTAGAAGTGCTCGGTGGCCTGCCGCAGCAGCAGCACCACGCTCCTGTCCACCGCGTCCCCGAGCTCCAGCCTCAGCTCCTCCCGGGTGCCCGGCAGCAGAGCCCTGAGGGCTTCCCAGAGAGCGCCAGCTGGCGCCCCGGGGCCTCCGTGACTCTGGGTGCCTTCTGTCATCTGGGCCATCCAGCGGGGTCAGATCAGCGCCTGACAGGGACAAACAAGCGTTAGGGACCAGGAGGGGCCTGGCCGCAGCCCACAGGGGCCCTCTTCAGAGCGGCCTTCTCTGCAGCCATGGCCCTGCAGCCCCCGTCCAGGTCTGCAATT